GTCAGTGTCTGTGTATTAATTGTAACACATGCACCACTCTGGTGAGGAATATTGATAATGGGGAAGGCTCTGCTTGTGTTGGGATGGGAGGTATATGGGAAACCTCTGGACCTTCTTAATTCTGCTATGAGCCTCAGATTGCTCTAAAACAGTTAACTCTTTAAAAAAAAAAGAATTGGGCTATGCATGACTGGAATATTGTGTTGTACACCAGAAACGGACACATTGTAACTGACTCTACTTCAATTAAAAAAGAAAAGAACTGGGGAGTCAAAAGGGATTTCTGACTCTTTAAATATTTTTTAATCCATTGGTAAGAGTTTCATTTTAAAAAAAAAAGTGATCGTTTCAAACAATTGGGGAAATAGAAGGAAAAAAAAAAACTGCCACCACTTCTTTAGCGTGGGTTCTGTATGTAACCCAGGAGTTTCTCTCCTTCCAAGGCTTGGCCTCCTCACCCTGCAAGGTGATATGTTGGCTGGACTGTATTTCCCTGAGCCGGGGGGTCCTCAGTCTGGAATAGCCCTTGCTGGAGGAGAGGGAAGGGTGCGGCAGGATGGTCTAGTGAGGTCTTTGGCATTTCATGTTTCCCAAAATAATCCACATTATAGTCACCCAAAGTCCATTAACACAACATGGTTGGGCCACCTGCTATGAATTGCAGATAATCTTTCTTTATTTGTCCACGTGTCCGGTGAATATTGGTTGGGCCAGGTGAGAGCCTGAAGGAGAAACAATGCTCAGAGAGTGCACAGGCTGAACGCACACAGAGAGAAACATTTTCCTAAACTGCTTGTAATTTGCAAAGCCATCCTCTCCACAAAGGAGCTGGTATGGATAGTCCTTCACAAAGCATCCCTTTTGTGCTTCTCGAATTGTGACTCCTGCAATCGACAGGGAATCAGAAACAGCTTTTACAGAAAACCAGCCAAAGCTTCCACAGGACCCCGTGTACAGGCTCGTCCAAGTTCTCAGGTGGGCCTCTTGCCTCCTCTTCATCCTTTGGAGGGACGATGTGGCTTGTGTTTTCAGATCCAAGTGCATTTTTTCCTTGACTGTGATTATACTGTATATATAAATTCATATCCTCATTTCTCGTTCACATTATAACACAATTTCCTAATGTCATACAAATTCCATGGATATCTTGACCTCATGAGAGCAGGACCACATCTGTCACCACGTCTGTTGGGTCTACCAACCTCAGGTACAACATGCACCGGGTGTGCAAAAGCGTCTCAGGAAACGATTGTTTTGCTGAACTCAGCTAATGGCCACGTTGTCGTCCTCTTCAGGGCTACGTCAGCATTTCTGTAATGCCACTGGACAAACCAGTCGTTTCTAGTTCTTGGTTTCTATTGTAGATATGTGTAGAGGTAAATTCTTGTGCATGAATCATTTTTTCTTTATTTCAGATTTCTCTGTTAGGTCAGACACTTAGAAGTGGAATGTTTGGAATCAAAGACTTTAGATATTTTTAAGGGTTTTAACACAAATCATCCCCATTCTCTGCTTCCCTCTACAGCCTTTATGAAAATCAAATGAGACAGAAGATATAGATGATCGTGTTAAGAATGTACAGGGAGCCTGGCATACAGTCAGCCCTCAGGAAACTCTCCCCTCCTTCGAAAAAGCACATCACTCTCACGCAGAAAGATACGAACAAGTGTTCCTGGCAACGTGCCAGTCTGCCACCCAACGCAGGCAACCTCTCAGTACTGACCCTCTCTCCTCCGTAAAGTGTGAGCTCTCCCGGGCATCTACAAAAAGGAATGTCAGGCCTGTCAAACTTGAATGCGCACGAGAACCATAAAATGCAGATTCTGATTCAGTAGGTCTTGGATGGAGCCAGAGATGCTGTGTTTCTCAAGCTTCTTTGGGTAGCTAGTATTTTCTTAGTCACTGAGAAAACATGTTTCTAAAGTCACAGACTATCAGAAATTAGACTTGAAATTATATCTGTAGGAATTCAACAACCCATTTTTACCTGAAGGATCTAAGTTACTTTGGCATAGAGAGGCAGCCTTGATTTCCAATCCAGGTACAGAGCTTTGACTAAGAGATTTCTTAACACATTTCATATCTAATTTGTAGTTTCCAAGGAAACAGGACACTGAGTTCACTTCACAGTCCTGATCTGATGTTGACCCACTGACTGCTGCTTTTCTTTGAGTCTATCAAAATTCTGCTTCATTTAAATTTCCCCCAACCTCTACCCTTCCCACCAAATCATGTAACAGTTCTATCTTCAACTTTGTTGAGATGCTCCATCTTTCTCTTTGTATGTGATACCCTCATTGCAATGAACCAGCCCTTATGAGACTACAAGTTTGCTGGTGGTGGTTAGGCTGACTGAACTGAGTACTAGGAATTTTTCCAATTCATCTAAATTTTTAAATGTATTAACATGATGTTGTTCATACTACCTTATGTGTTTAATGTCTCTAGGATCTGTAGTGATGTCCACTTTTCATTTCTGATGATGATTATTTTGCCTTTTCTATTGTTTATTTGACTGGTTTTGCCAGAGGTTAATTAACTATGAAAATCTTTTTAAAGAACCAGCTTTCAATTCTCAATTCAGTAAGCGGGGTATGGAGGCCATGTTTTGGCCACAATCTCATAAGGACACAGCTGTCTATTGCGGCCAAAACTCGGCCTCTGTACCCCGATTACTAAATTGAGACTTGAGGACAGAATTTTAGATGAAGTAGAAAAGGCAGCTGTATTTCTTTGCCAGGCAAAGGAGGTCACAGTGGGGTGATGCTTCCAAAACTGTGAGCCTGCTGGGGCGAGAAGACAAGGATTTTCCAGTAAAAGTCCAAGAGCTCAAGGGTGCTGGTTTTCACAGAGTTTGCATATAAGGTAACAAATTATTACAAAGTTATTCTTGCTTATGCAGATGCAACAGTTCCCCTTCCTTCTGCTGGGTATGATGTTTTCCTCTGGCTTTAGAAATCTAATATTCTTGTGCCTAGAACGAAGTGTGCTTAGGAAAGGGGTCTGTGGAAAAGTGCACTATTGAAAAATTTGTACAGTTTAAAGTCAGGTTGGTATATGCTTGTAGCATTTTTAGACAGGCTGAGGCCTGGAACCTTTTGCTGCAGTGGTGACACAGGCTAGGACCTGCACCCTGAACAATAGAATACAAAGAAACCACAAGGGACTAAAAATAACTTCATGCATTCCCAGTTGGGGCAAGTTATGAACAACAAGATACACAAAACAGAAACCGAAATGCCATTTCTGAGGTGTTGGAGGCAAAAGCATGGCACTGAGCATGATCCCCACATGGTCACCCACGAAGGGGTTGGGCGGACCACCCAAGCGTCCCTCCTCCCCAGCCTAACCCTGGTTGGCAAGAGCATGAGAAAAGCCGTTTAAACTATTGTACAATTCAGCAGTTACAAATACCATATGGTCACCAAAGACAGTAGAGTCCTGCCCAGTTACACTATCACTCTGCAAAGTTTCTTGGTCATACAGACCAACTGTGCAAAATGTAAGAGGGGACCACACAAGGGTGTGAATACCAAGAGGAGAGGATCATTGGGAGTCAACGTGGAGTGTGGCTAAAATGAATAAAATTAAATGAATGAAATTAAAATTAACTGAATGGTTCTCCCTCCTTTCCTCCTCTCTGAAATGGTTAGTTTAATACATCTAGTTGCTGTTCTGGGAATATTGGTTGAAAGTAGTATGGGGTATTTTCTTAAACCACTGACATTTTCCAGAAAAAGACTGAATTATAATTTGGTTTTTTTTTTCTTTTCAATCATTACCTAATTCAGTTTCCTTTAGAGTGTGTAGCACACAGAACAATGTGGAGCAGAGTCCCCTGCTCGGCTCTGTCCATAAGAATTCCGGCTCTTGTTATTTTTTTCTGCTCCAGCGAGTCAAGAACAACATCACCCTTATATGGTACTGGCCGACAGCATGTCATCAAGGTGACCAGCATGGCAATATTCTATTGTTGGGAAAGGCAGTCTCATGCATGCATCTTTCACTGCAAAAGAATGGGCCTTGGACCTAGAATACTTACTTACCAAGAGATAAAGAGCCCACACAGCCCGTGCCAGACTTATCACCACCTGTGAAATATCTTTCCCTATTCCAAGCTCAATGTAGGCTCCTTTGTTTTGTATAAGTGTGTGCACTATGGCATCCAGCCAACCCTACTGACGTATCTTCCCTCCGTGGAGAGGGGATGGGATCCTTCTACTGTGACATGAGAGGAGTGTATGTAGGTAAATGTCCAGCAGAGACTCACTGGCCAGGGGAGATCAAGGCCCACAATGGAAGCTGGTCTCGCTGTTTCATCTCTGCGGAGGTAAAACATCGTTTCATCCAATGCTTGACTACGCTGTGCTCTCTCGGAGACCCTGATATGAACACACCATGGGCAGCAGTGTTTGGAGTCCTCCCTCAGGACTGATAGTGCGTGTTATTCAGCTCAATGTTTATTTTAATAGAGAGGAAATAGTGTCTTGGGAGAGAGAAGAAATGAAAGCGGTTCCAATCACCACAGAAGGCAAGTATCCACCATTTGTGTGTGTGTGTGTGTGTGTGGGCGGAGAGAGGTAATTAGGTTTCTTTATTTTTTTGATGGAGGTACTGGGGATTGAACCAGGACCTCGTCCATGCTAAGCATGCACTCTACCACTGAGCTATACCCTCCCCCCAAGTTGCCCCCATTTTGAACTTAACATGCCCCAGAAATGTGGCTATTCACACCCCATTACACGCCCCAATGCACTGTGAGAAATTGGTTTTTATCACCACTTTGCAAACAAAGAGATTAGGATGTAGGAGATGAAGTCATTTGTCCCAAATCATAGAGCCAATATTTTCAGACTCGTGATGTAAATTCATGCCCGTCCAGCCTCTAAGCCTCTTCCTTCCACTCCATATCTGTAGGAGAGAGGCCTCTTATCCAACATTCCCTCCCATCTGACTCATACTCCCCAGTGAAACACAGAATCAAAATGTACAGAGAGAAAGATGCTCATTCATTTATTGCCCAATTAATAGACATCTCCTGGAAGCCTATTGGTGCCAAGCCTTTTTGCAAAGAAAATGTTGGTGGTAGAACCAGGTCTTCACCATGGAGTGCTCCAGTGAGCCAAGTCTGGGACTAGGAATGGAATTCCCAGGCCACACAAAGTAGAAATCCAGAGCCTCTTCCAAATGGCAAACATCAAGCTGTGAAAGGGAATCGGATCAGAGCTTCAGCAGAGGAACCAGCCACATCATCTCCACGTTCTACCCTCAAGAAACCCCCCGAGATAGAGAAAATGGCAAGGTGTTGATATAGTTGAATGAGTCTTGGTATCAGGAGGCTGAGTCCAAGTTTCTATTTTACTAGAAAACTCTAAAGTCAGAGAACTGAGCTGGCCTCTCCTCAAAACCCATTGATCCTTTGGGCTTTGATCCTAGACAACTTACTGGATATAACCTTAATAATACATCCTTAGTGCTCGCAGGGCTTTTCACAATGCACTTTCAATTGCATTAGGTCCCTTTTGCAGATAAGGAAACTGAGACTCAGAGTCACTTGCCCAGGGCCCTTACCCAGAGGGGCGGAGTAGAATCCAAGCCATGAGTGATCTGAGGGAAATCCTTGCCCTGAGGCTTGGGGAACAGTGCTCTTGAAAGACAAGGGAGTCAGGCAGAGGCTCTGCTGGAGTAGGGATCAGGAGTCCCCCTGCTTACATGCCTGGAATTCCGGAGTGTTGAGACTGAGAGACTGGAAGGAGAGAGGTCAGCTGCCCCAGCCCCTCCTTACCTCTCACAGGGGAGACGCAGACTTTCCCGCACGTGCTCCTGCAGCACTTTAAGTTATCCAGACACTGGCCATCTGTCTCACAGTGGTTGGGGGGGTTAAGTATCAGACATTGACCCTGGACCACTGGACACTTCCCAGACTTTTTCTTAACTGGTGAGAGTAGAGTTATGGGTTAGAAGCTTTGTACCTTCTACAACACCCCCCTGCTCCTTGGACCCAGCCCCTGCCCCAGCCTGAGCACAGAGAATCATTGCCTCCCATCCTCATGACCACCATGTCCTTCCTGAGGCCCGGGTACCCCTTGAAGTTAGCATCTGGCTCTTCTCTAACATCAGGCCCTCAGCCAATGCAGGTGACCAGGTGTCCAGTGCGGACCGGATCTGTGACTGCCAACTGCCTAGTTATCTAAATGACCAGATGACTATGACCTGAACAACTGACCTCCCGGCAGATTGGCTGCTTCACCAGCTAGGTAAGTAATTTCCTCTCTGGGGCAGTATGACTCCCTGACCAGCTAACAAACTTGGCTCAACAATTCTTGGCCAGGAGGAGGCCTGGACTCGATCCTGTCCCCACCACCACCCCAATGCCATGTCCTTTGTCTCACTTCACTAGCTCTCCCACCTCCTCACCTGGGTTCAGGATGTCAACAGGGTCCAGGCATTTGAGTTCACAAGTATCCAGGCAACATTTCTTCTTCCCTGGGCACTGCCAGTCACTCCTGCACCTGGGTTTCTCATATTTAGTCACTCTGAGGCACTGGGCAGGATTTCTAAGAGGGCAGGCTCCGGCTTTCAAAGCTTTGGAAGAGATGTACAAGAGTTCAGGATGGGCCTGGGTCTTGAGTAGCCATCACTGCTCCTGGACAAAGCACCGCTTTCCAGGAGTGGCCCCCACCCAGCTGACTGTCCCCTAAGTCCGAAGGAAAGTCCCTGTCTGACCTCCATAACAGCCTTAACAGCCTTGGTTAAACCACACGAGTGGTCATGAGAAAGGCATAGGGCCCCCAGCCAAGGTTTTCTACCCCAGGAAAAAGCCAGGTTACACACAGACAGAGAGGCAGGCTGGGCGTGATGGAGATGGGGAGAAATAAACAAAGATAAACAGAAGCGACGGGCAGGTGGAGAGCTAGAGCCAGAGGCAGGAAAACAGAGACTAATGGAGAGAATCAGAGAGAATCAGACTGATGACTGGAGAGCCACAGACAGGTTACTGGGAGGGAGAGAGAAATAAGAACAGAATGGGAGTGAGACCTGGGCTGATAGATGACAAAGTAAGAGAAGCATTTCCAGATGCTCAGAAGCCCTCTCAGAGACCTTGGCGCCTGGATGGACATGAACGCACTGTCAGGGACATCTGAAACTAAGCTGAGAGAGTAGAGTCTAGAGAAGGGGCCATCCCCACACCACTGGGAGCCGTGGACTCCAACCCTGCAGCCAAGATCATCAGGGGTGACTCCAGCTTACCTTTTTCAGCACTTTCCACAGCCCAAGGTGCCAGAGTACCCAGGGCAAGAAGCACGAAGGGGAAGAGGCTACTGGACTTCATGGTGAGCGCGGGGGTGGCTCTGATGGCCAAACCTCCCTGTTTATACTTTCACTAGTGGGTGTGGCCTCGCCAGAATTTCCTTGGCCCCTCCTAGCTTTGATAACATAAGCAGGGAGCTTGGCCACAGACCAGGAAGCCTGATACCAGAGAGACAGTGGCCCTTTCCCGGCCCTGGGTAAGGCTGCAAGGCCAGCAGAGTAACCGCCAGCGAAGAAGTAGGAAAGGCTGGCCTGGAAGTTGTTGCCAGGCTGATAAGGAGACCATCTCTGGTGTCCATCTGAGCCCTGAACATCCTGGGGGTCCCCGCCCCATTAGCCTTGTTGGTGGAGAGGCAGGCAAGAGGTCAACTGTGGAGGTGCTATTTAGATCTGATTCTCAATGAGATGTTGGGTAGTGTACCCCTAATTCTCCCAATTCTGGACTTGCAGGGGCTTGCAAAACTCTCCACTGATTGCTCAGTGCAATTTCCTCTTCAAATTTCAGATGACAAAGCCCTCAACCAGCAGATATTTGTTTCCCCGAAATATTTACACCCCTGTATCTCCAGTGCGTAATCCATGCCGGATTCGTGGAAAGCGCTCATGAACAGCTGTCAAATAAAAGACGCAGAAGAAAGAGCCTGCCCTCAGCAAATCTCTTTGGAGCTCAGGATTCCCATCTGTGAAATGGGATGGTCCTCACAAATCAGCCTTCTCAGAAAGTTGTGAGGTTACAGAGGTGAAAGGACTCTGAAAAGAATAAATGAATTGTTTCCCTTACAAGTAAAGACAATTGAATCTAAGATGAAGGGATAAAGCAGCTCACTGGTCGCTGTAATCAACACTTAGTGATGGTGTACAATTTGAGATGTTAGAGGAACGCTTCCTACCCCCAAGTACCCTACAGATCTCACGCAAGAACAACAACAAATGATGGCTGTCATAAAGTCTAGTCTATGTGCTACCCTGTCTGTATAGATTGCTTCTAACTGTCAAGAGAGTGATCATTATCTCTAGATTCCAAGCCAAATTGGTCTAACTGCAAAGCCCAAGCCCTTGCCTCAGTATCACGTCACTTCCTGATGCTTGGAATTTCCCCATTCATTCTTCAAAGTGAAGGTCTGTGGAAATGCAAAGAGACACGAATGCGTCATGCGTTATGCAGCAGTGACGGCTCCATAAGGACTCATTTGTGAAGTATCCCCCAACTAGACAGACAACAGATCCCTCTAGGGAGAAGTCACTCAGTGATTTAAATTTTGGTGGGAAAAGAAAAGGAAGAAAATTAGCATGCACTGAATAGCTACCATGGGTCAGGGGCTTTCTCTCCTAGCTGGCGCACTCAGTAGGGCGAGTAAGAGAGAGAGGGATTGTCTGACCTCCACTGATGGATAATGTCACTGTTGAGTCAAACAGCTTGACTTAGATTTAGGGTTTTGGTTCTCGCATCACCCCAAGGACAATTTCATTCTTCTCACCAGGGGATGAGACCGGAAGAAGTTGCCACACTTCTCACTTCCTGTTTCTTCCTATCTTCCTCAGAGCCACACTCAAGAGGGTATCTGGAGTTTTCCAAAAATTTGCTTTATAGAGACTGAAAGGGAAAATGCTCCAGTTAGAGTTCTCTATCTGTGATTGATTATAAAAGCCAACTCCTTTTTCATCAGAAGAGTCCTGTGATCAATTAGCAGTGTCTGCCATGGACACCATAGAAGGGTATTCACATTGCATGACCATTTCTGCCCTTCATACATCTTGTTCTCATAGACTGTGAAGGTTAAAGGGAATGCAGAGATCATCTAGATCAAGACTCAGCAAACTACAACCTTGGGACCAAATCCAGACAGGTGCCTGTTTTTCTAAATGACGTCTTATTGGAACCCAGTCACACATTCACTTGTTTACATACTGTCTGAGGTTACTTTCTTACTACAACGGGAGGGTTGCCTAGTTGTGGCAGAGACGCAAATTAGGTTTTAGACAAAGTCTAAAATGTTTGCTCTCTGGTCTTTCAACAGACTATGTTTTGCTGACTTCTGATCCAGACCAAACCTCCAGCTGACAGCAAGAGACTGAAGCCCTCCGGAGAAGGTACAAGCCCCAGACTGCATAATGAGTTAATTGCACAACACCCAGATCGAGTTTTTCTAAAACTGGTTACTCCCATGTTGGTTCCCCAAAACTGGTAATAGGTGATGGCTGGGCACTCCCACTCCTGGCCCGATCTTAACCCAAGATTGAGTCGCTAAGCCTACTTCACATGCCTTCTATAGCCTTCTGCTAGATACTGTAGAGTCATTCACTCATTCATGCAATTCATTCACAAAAAATTATTTAATGAATTCTTACTGCATGCCAGGGATTATGCCAGGCCCTGAGGCTACAATCAAGAAGGCACATGGAGTCAATATTTCATGGTCATTAAGAACCTAAACTTTAGGTCAGAGTTACCTGGGTTGGAAGAAAAATCACTGACCCTGCCTGAGCCTCAGTTTGCTCAACTGTAAGATGGGGGTATTGATCTCTCTTATATCACACGGTGGTTGTAAGGAGTATTTGGCAAGCACTCTGCACAGTGTTCGGCCCACTCAGCATGGCAGACGCTGTTCTTATTACAGGCAGGTGTGCTGAATATTAGGCAAGCAGGGAGCCGTCAGGTTCTTGGGTCCTTGGGTCCTTGGGTCCTTGGGTCCTTGGGTCTGAACCCTTCTTCCCCTGCTCCATTAAATGCCTGAATGAGCCTTCAGGACAGAATTGCTTCTAGGGTGTAGAGAGGGCCCTTGTCTATGCAAACAATTTGATTTTAAAATGTATTCTAAAATTCACTAGACCATATGAGGTGCTATGATTAACCCAAGAAGATTTAGAATAATTGTCGGTGCCATCATGTTTGCTCGCTGTCTAACCAGAGCATGTGACGTCTTCTCAGTATCCAGGCACCATTTCCTCCCCTCTGGGTCCAGAAACCAGCAGATGGCGAATGAGCTCCAGAGAGAGGCATCGCTTAGCATAAACTTTGTTTTTGGTGTCATCTTTCTAAACAGATATATATATTTTTTATTTTGATGGAGTCAATGTACCCAGTTTTCCCAGTCCTTTATGGATTGCACTTTTCACATCAAACTCTCCTCACTGAAGAACAATCCCTTCCATTTTCCTTAAACATTTTTGCAAGTTTTATTTTTCACATTGAAGTCATTCATCTAGCTGGAATTTATTTTTTGTGAAAGATTTGAAGTAGGGATCTTGTTTCACTTTCTTTCCAAAATGGAATGCCAATCATTCCCCTATATCATTGATCCCCTGTTATTTTATAAAACCACATCTATTTTGTACCAAGTTTTCATATGTAGATGGATGTGTTTCTGTGTTCTATTGGGTTTTCTTACTCAATGTGTCTAGTCTCAAACCAGTCTTCTTTGGTACTCTTTCAATTAACATGTATGTTTTCTATATCTCGGTGCTTTGCAGCACAAGTCTTTTTGGTTTTACTTATTCAGAATTGTTTTGGCTATTCTTGCATTTCTACTCTACCACGCATATTTTAGGATCGATTTGTTAAGTCCCTCAAAAAAAATCTATTGAGATTTTTATTACAGTTGCATCAAAGCTATAAATTATAGGGGCAGGGGCCAAAATATTTACTATATGAAGTCTACCCAAGTGTAAAAAATGAGCAATAGGGAGACTTTGCTCAGTTGACCATCAGCTCCAATTGGTCCAGTCCTCCTCTAAGTCTCCAGGTCTCTCAGCCTCACAGATGCCATCTTTCACCTTGACTGGAGTCCCTCTGCTCCCCGACCTCTCTGAACTGGCAGCTTAGACATCTGAAGTCTTGAGGACCTTGTCCCTGACTCACTGCATACTCTAGACTAAGGCACTGCCCCTCTCTGAGCCTCAGTTTCCTCACCTGTACCAAGAGTGTGTTGGATTGGGTAAAAGTGAAGACCCCTCAGGGCCCGGACACTCTAGGAAACATCACCCTCTCTGCATCCTCCCAGCCCCAGACTGGATGGCCACTCTCCCGACGGAGCTGAGCCTCATGCTCACAGACCTCTGCTAGCCTGCTCCTTGGGGGTTTTTTGGGAGTGAAGGGGAGGAGGGTTCCTTCTTAAATGAGACCGTTCTAGCTAACCTCTGACTCCACTTGGCCTTCAGGCTCTGTACCTCTAGACACCTTCTAAGGGAGGGGATCATGAATGATTTCTATTAGGGCGCATAATTAGGGTCTTGGTCTAGTTTCTGCTGCATGGTGTCTTCACCTAGAATTCTTTCCAATAAACACACTGGCCCTCTTGAACTCGCTTCTTACACAAGAAAAGATGCTGTTTGTTTACTGTCTGTTTTTTCCTCCCTACTCTCTCACTTATCATGTGGGTTCTACCCTTGATACGAATGTTTAAGTTAAACATGGTAGAAGTAGAGGGGTCAGAGGTTCTGCTGCACTTGGCCCCGATGCCCAGGGCCCAGGTGAGTCCCCTCCGAGAGCGGCAGATGCACATTTTAACTAGTGATTTTTTTTCAACTAGAAAAATAAGAAGAGAACTTCTGGTCAAAGATGGCAAAATTAAGAGGCTATAGCTCCATTTTCATCTCTGAAGCTCGCAGAAGCCCCTCTTTGATCAAATCAGAAAGCAGGTTCCATCCTGAGCCACAGTTGATTTTAAAGATGGAGAACATTCTCATCATCATAGACATTCGACTGGCCAGCCCCGCTCTATTCCTGTACTCTGTTTTATCATCTGCCTAGTTTTGATCTCTATCTGAAACTTTTTCGCTTACCTCTTTGCTGTCCACGTTCCCCTCCTGGAACGTAAGTAGAAGGCAGGGAGCATGATTCTCCTCTTCACCACTGTATCCCCAGTGCCTAGTACAGCATCTAACATGCCTCCCAAATAGACATTCAGGAAGTACTCACTGAGGAGGCTTTTTTTTTTTTTAAGCATCTGCCAGAATCAGAGGCCACCCTGAGATTTTCTTGTTCCTCTGGGAGGAAATGGACCTCAACTAGCAACTGCACGTTGCAGTGCTGGCATTGTTATCTTAATCTGCCTACTTCCTCCCTGGATACCCACCTCCAGCTCAGCTGCTAGGAAGCACTCTGCCTGCCTTGCATTCCCTGGGGGTGGGAGTGCCAGGTGAGCAGCAGAAACTGCATTCACTACTTCAGGAAAAACAATGACCTTGGACCTGGGAAAGGGCAGAGCAGGAGGTGACATGTGGAGGTGGGATTGCCCACGGCAGGATGAAGAGTAGGAAGACACGATGGCTCAGGGATCTGGGGGTTTTATGTGTGCTTCGGTTACCCCTGAATAAAGAACCAGCATTTTGCCCTTCTTCTCTTCCACATCTTGTGCTTTGCTTTCGTGTGCCTCTTAGGCTTCCTAGTAAAAACTTCTTTGAAAGAGTCCACTTTTGTCCCTGATGAACTGAAGCTTTGTGGCTTTGAGAAGATGGCCTCTTTGAACCTCTGTTTTCCCTTCTATAAGCCAAGGTGTTTAAACAAGACAATGCAGGCCCAGGGTGTGGTGCAGTCCCTGGCATGCTGCACGCTGTGGGAATTCTGTGACTGATAGTTTTCTTCTCCTTCCTCTCTCGCTATCTTAGGGCCGAAGAGCCAGAAGAGTCAATCACCCTTGGAGACAGCAGCTATGCCAGTTGGAGAAACTGGGAAGGACTGTGAGCTAAAAGTGAAAGCTAGAAAGGCAAAAAGTCATAGAAATACCATGATCCCTGGAGAACAGAGAGAGAGGTGAAATTCTGAAGGGGATCAGGGCGATTGGCTGAGGTCACAGCCCCTTCCTGCCCTTGGCTTTCTCACCCAAGGCTATGTCCAGTGCATCTTACCAGGTATAAGAAAGAGCACCACAAGTGACATCTGTCACTCACCAACTTGCCAGCTCACCAACCACTGCAGAAGACATTATGCTTTTTAATCATTCAAGTCTCCAGGGAACCAAGAAGGCTGAGAATGCTGAGTTCCCTCCAGGGGACGTAGGTTCGAGTCCCCCAAAACAAAAGTGCTCTGTGCCTGGTTTTATCAGGTTCTCAAAGCCACATGACCTCCCTGCTTGTCAGGACACCAGGAGGCCCAGGCGCAGTGTCTGCTCAGGCCCTGTGCCTTCTCTTGACAATGTTACTCTCCCCCTCAAGGTTCCCTCCATGCTGTTACTTGGATTCTTACTCTCTGTTCTTGGGTTAAATGTTTGTTTTACTGAACTTTAAAGTCTCCCATCCTTTGAGTTTAGGAGAGAGGTATAAACAAAGAAACAAGGACTAGCTACCCTTCTGTGGAACATTCTTTTCTATCCAAAAGGGTAAAGGGAGCAAGAGGAAAGGAAAATGAGAGAGAGAGAGAATCAGGAGGTGGACAAGGGAACGAGCCTCTGTCAAAACCTATACATAGCTAGGAAGTAGCCAGACTGGTCTTCAGATTCCGGATTGTGTGGTTATTGCCTAGGAAGCGAAGCAGCTTCTAGGCTGGGGTGAGGTCTGCCAGAGTCGGGAGAGGGGTGTGAAGACGTGGGAGGGTATTTCTCAGAAGGGCAGGCCCGGTTCATTAGTCCAAGTGCCCGATGCCAAGTGCCTGTTAGGGCGCTGGGATCCAACTCCAAATCAGAGCTCCAGGCGCCATCCAGTGGCCACTGTGGAAATTGCAGGAGAAAAGAGCAGACGAGAAAAGAAACCCCACTGAAGGCAGTCCTGGCCAGCGCCAGGGGGAAGCGAAGGAGAGAGCCTCCCCTTGTCCTCAGTGCCTCCCCCCAATCAGTTAAGGATCCGGTTCCAGTCAGACCCCTACAGACTGCTGCCTGATCCAGCTGGGGTTCTCTCATTGTGAACTCGGGCAGCCTGGTTCCCCTGCCAGAAAACAAAGGAGTAGGACAGGTCACAGGCCAGGGACCATACTTAGCACTTTTGCTCATCTGACCCTCATGTCCAGGTAAGATCTCAATCATCCCATCACCCCACACTCCAGTCACTCCTGACCACACAGATCTGTGCTTCATTCACCTGTGTAATCCCTCATGGCTCCCTAGGGAAATTCCAGCCATGGGTTAGGCTTGGCTGCAAACCACCTCTTCCAGAATTCTTCCGTTCTTGCCTGCCAATTGCTCCATCCCCTCACCTAAAGGATCCTCTTTCTGCTACAGTTATGGTCAAGCACACCTCACCCCCTCCAGCTCTGAGCTCCCTCAGCCCAGGGGCTTTTCTTAGTATTGTTTCTCCCTCCTCACCCCACCTAGGTGCCAGGCATGGACAGGCTTAACACTGCCTGCTCTGAGCTCAGTCTGCCTGGCTTCAGGCACTGTGTGGAAGGCAGAATAATGGTCCCCCCAAAGATGTCCACGTCCTAATCTCTGGAACCTTGGAATATGTTATTTTATAGGGCAAAGAGAGTTTGAAGATGTGATAAAGAGCTCAAGACGGGGATATTATGGTGGCTTAGCTGGGTGAGCCCAGTATAATCACAAGGGTCCTGCTGCTGTGGAGAGAAGAGGGTCAGAGTCAGGGAAGGAGATGTGATGCCAGAAGCAGGTAGCCTTTAGAAGTTGGAAAGAGCAAGGGAACAACAGTCTCCAGAAGGAATGCAGCCCTGCCAACCCCTTTTAGACTTCTGACCTCAAGGAGTATTTGTGTTTTTTAAGCCACTAAATTTGCAGTAATGTTACAGCCACAATAGGAAACAAATACATACTGATTCAGCTTCTCACTGATCACATGACTCTGGGAAACTCACCCTCTCAATGACTTAGTTTCTTTGCCTGTAAAATGGAGATGATATAGGCAATAATTCCTACCTCACAAGGTCGTTGGGAGGAAAAAAATGAAAATACCTGTGAATTACTTAGAATAATGCCCAAGACTAAACATGTGAGTTACTATTATAAGAATCATTAACAGCTACCATTAATTGAGAACCTAATATGCACCAGGCACTATGTCAGATGCCTTAGAACAATTTCCTCCATTCTCACCATCACCCTTGAGGGTAATTATTTCAATCCCCATTTTACACATAAGGAAACAAACCCAGTTATTTGCCCATAATCACGCTAGGACTGGAAGCATTTTAATCTTTGCAGTTTCTAACACGCATTTGGGAAATTGTACTGGTTTGTGCTCCTTACCGATAGAAGGTTAGTTTTGGTTTTGGTTTTTTTGGAGGAGAACAGAAGCTGAGCAGACTACCCTGGGCCAGAGGTCCCGGCTGACATCCTCTCTTCTTCCAACCTAGTGCAGGGAGATAAAATCCAGGTGAAACTTACCTATCCGTCCCCACCCCATCCATTTAGGGGTTCAATTACTGCCTCCTGCTACCTAACTCCCCCCCCCGTTCTAACAGCTTTTCAGCCAGACTGGGGGACACCAGGAGAGGGGCACGGCCAGAGAGTCAAGTGTCCGATCCGCTGGGGGATGGAGGGGCGCAGCCTTGCCCAGACCCCAAGGGTACCTGTGCAGCCCCCTCCTTTCCTGCAGCCTGCATAAGGAGCCATCTGTTCTCGGTTGAATAAACAAGCAGGGGGAAGCAGCTCCCGGCCCCCTGCCCCTCAGCCCGACCCCCGCACAATGCGCCTTTCTGCGAGGAGACGCCGCCCGGGCGCCGCTGGAGCGCGCTCTGTCTGGCCTCCCCTCCCCCTGGCGGCACAGGAAGACACACACACCTACTCCGTAGAAAGCAGTTCTTTTTTTTT